GTGTGTCGAGACCACCTGTCTTAAAGGTTCCGATCCTCACAGTCGCACCTCCCGGAGTTACGATAGATGGTTCTTTCTACAATTACTGGAATGCTGTGAGCTCAAAGCGAGTGGGGAGTGGAAAACTAAGTTTCTTTTGACTTACCCTAAAAGCCGCCATACCTATGACCCTCTCGGTTCGTTTTTCCGACGGAGAGCGCAGAGGGACAAAGCAGTTCGGCTTGACTTACGTCATCACCACAGCCCCTCCCCTTTATGCTGGTAGCCGGTCGGCTCCTGCCCTTTCTCCGTCCTCCTGCAGCTGCTTTGTCAGCTCAGATGCCAAAGTTCACTAGCTAGCCATTCTCCGGAGAAATGGGCTTATCCTTCTCATTGACACTCCAGTCCTACATAGATCGAAGCTCTCAGAGTATTCACCACACTCCAATTAGAAGTTTTTCTTCTTGGATGAATGACTTTTTTGTTTATGTGATTTGTGTAGAAGAGAACTTAAAACGCAAGTTCAACTGCCTTAATAAACAACCATGTAAGTCACAAGAGCACATCACCTTTGCCATTCTTGGAGCAATAACATTCATTCTAAAATTGTCACTGAGCACCAATTCTCTCGGGAAGTTGTTCAGAGTACACGGCAAAACCTAGTGGCATACCATAAAGCTCCAGGCGAAAAAGACAAATATTAGAAAGGCGTAAATGCTATTCAAGAAAATAGAATACAGATTGGCAAGAGTGTTCAGTGTGTACCTTCTGCCAAGCCTGATGAACTGGATTTGGCACACAGGCGCGTGCGTGCACACAGACTAAATACTAATACTTTTAATACTAAAATGTATTAAAAGTTTTTTTTTTAGAAGAAGAAGAAGAAGAAGAAGAAGAAGAAGAAGAAGAAGAAGAAGAAGAAGAAGAAGAAGAAGAAGAAGAAGAAGGAAGAAGAAGAAGCTGTGGAGATGGAGTGGAGTTTACTAGTTTCTATAAATTTACGACGCTGATAAGGTGTCTTGGGAAAAGTCATGAGGAATGTAGACAAGTGCAAAAGTATTCAATGAAATAAAATAAAATAGGTTCCACAACAATGAAAAAACATACTGCAAAAGGGGCTTTATGTGTCACTATAACTAATTGGGGTTGTTTCTTTCGTTTTATTCCGGTTTGGTTGTTTTTTTTTTTTTTCTTATTTTCCTGTTTGTTTTCTAAAGAGAGAGAAAACCTGTGGGATGACTGGGTAGAAGGTGAGGAGCATCTGGGAGGAGCTGGGGCAGGGGAAACCGTGATCAGAATATAGTAAATGAAAAAATTAATTTATAAAAAGAAAAAAAGATTCGGGAAGTAATTGAAGGGGTCTTAGCCATGGTGTAACTTGATCTAAAATACATTATAAAATAATGATCATGAAGCTCTCAGGAGAATATGCTGTGGGAAGTATATTATTCTCTATCTGGGCACAGGCTCCCTGAGGCCTCTGTGAATTATTCTGAGAAAAAGAGTGTCCAAAATGTGCCCATTAACGTCTAAATATTAATCAATTCATTTACTCATTCATTCAACAAGTATTTCTTAGGTATAAACTATATACTTGGGATTAATGGTGTATTAAGCATATTTGAAGAAAATTCTTAATGAGTATGCAATGAAATTATATCATTAAATAATGATTAAATAAAACAAATAACAGTGATGATGAATAAAAGACTGAAATCTATCTTTCATTATGTTTCCTACTTAAAGTATAGCATACATATACTTTATAATTTATAATGAATATGAAAATAAAATACAAAATAAAGAATATGCTATAGCACAAAGTATAAAAGAAAAAATAGTGGATAATTTTTAAACTTTTCATGAACTTATTTTTCTGAAAAGAATAAAACTATCTACACACTGATCAACCACTAAGACTAGCAAATATATCAGTTTCTGGTTTTGAGGTGTAGCATTTGCTTATATGTTAATTGCATTATCAGAATCTAATATTTCTGAATATTCATTGGGCAATTTAGGTAGATTTTGAATATATCTCTTTGTTCATAGTTGATTGAGGTTCATTTATCATTAACTTTAATATAAATTTCTTTTACAAATGGCAGTAAATATGCAAATAGTAAAATACTTAAAATTTCAAGTAAGCATGTGCAGAACAAAGAAATCTTATTTTCTCAAAACTTCAGGAATTATGATACAATTCATGTTTCTGTTTCTTCAGATTTTATTATCAAGGTCTTAAAATTTTCCATAACTGATCAATTTCAATCAAAGGAAGTTCTTCAGAAAATTAATCTTAAACTTCTTTCACAGTTGGTTACAAGTCTGGAATATTTTCTTCTTTAAAAATGTTTTTCTACATTGTCCCCCAGAGAAGGGGAAAAGGACAAGATCTCCTGAGCAAACTTGGAAGATGGGGGGAGGGGAGAGGGAGCTAGGAGAATGAGAAGGGGAGAAGCAAAAGGTGGGGAATACATGATGGGGCAGAGAGGTTGAGTTGGTGGAAGAATAGAAGAGAGCAAGATAAGAGATATCATAATAGATAATAATAATAATAATAATAATAATAATAATAATAATAATAGTAAT